GGGGGCGGGTCGGTGGTGCTTGGGCCGGGTTGGTGGTGCTGAGGGCCGGTCGGTGGTTAGGGCCGGTCGGTGGTGCTGGCCGGTCAATGGTGCTTGGGGCGGGTCTGTGGTGCTGGGGGGCCGGTCGTCGGGGCGTTGGTGAGGCCAAAATGCATGACCACCAATTCAAAATGCCGATACCGCGTCTTGAACGCAGATTTGTTACGATCGTTCGGTCGGATCGAGATTTGATGATATCCTGACTTCAAATGCAACTTAGAAAAATACTTTGCGCCGCCCAATCGCTCAAGAAGATCGTCAATGCGAGGAAGAGGCCGCATTCTTGGCGGTTTGCGCGCTGAGCTTGCGGTAGTCGATACACAATCGTAGATATTTGTTCTTCTTCCGTACGAAGAGAACTAGCGCTCCGTATGGAGAGCTACTAGGGCGGATCCAGCCCTTGTCCAACAAATCATCGAGTTGCGCGCGAAGGACCGTAAGCTCCTCCTCGCTCATGGGATAAATGCAACCTTTCGGCGGCACAACACCGGCCTCGAGAATGATCTCGTGAGAAATTGGCCGATCCGGCACCACACCGGTAGGTGACTCGAAGATGTCGGCGAACTCGTCAAGCAACCACAACACACGGGGGTCCGAAGACAAGTCCGTGGGTGAAGAGTCGGCTACCGCGACAGTTCGTATGAAACATAGGCCGATTTCGTCGAGCTGCTCATAAGCACAAGTAACCCGGAATGACTTGGCCGTCACCACTTGGCACTGAATCGAAGGGTGCGGAAGAGGAATAGTACACGACCCTTCGGCGTCGAAGGCATCGCGAACGGTAAGAGTCCGCCGGTGGAAGTTGACCGTGTGATCCGCACGTGCAAGCCAAGGCATTCCCAAAATAACGTCAAAGTCCGTGTTCAAAATGTCGAACGTCACCGGTTCACATGCATGAGGTGCGAAATACACCGGTACGGCCTCGATGTAGAGGTCGATAAGTTGCTGCATCCTTCCGTCCGCCAACTTGATTGTCGTCGGGTTTGCCTTCCTTCGAACTTGTGTGCTAAGGCCAGCCCATTGCATAAAGGCTTGGCTCATAAAATTGCGAGACGTGTCGCTATCCAGCAAAGCGCTGCAGGACGTTTGCCCAACTTGGATGCGGACGTAGAGGAGCGGTGCGTTGTTGTCGTCGTACCGCTGATTGTGAAACTCGCGGGTCACCTTGGTAACATACGCAAGGATGTCCCCCACCGCGACTTCGTCATCCGTCGACGAAGTTGGTGGTGCATAGAAGGATAAGTACGTGCGAAGATGAGCGCATAGTGCTGTGCATTGCGGTCCCGGCAAGCGGCCCGTGGTTGGGAGAGGAAGCCATGTGAAATCCTCGGACATGAGCGGGTCCAATACTTCTATATTGAACTTGCACGCCAAATCCCATGAAGAACCACTTGAAGACGATAAGTTGCCGTTGTCGGACGAAGAAGATGCTGCACACACGTCTTGTCCTTGAGCATGAGTACCCAGCGTAGGAACGAGCCGGGCAGCATAGTCCTCAAAAGAATAAAGAAGAGGAGGACTATCGACTTCCGCATATGCCTCGGAACGAAGGACGGTCACCCGCGAAGTGACCGGTTTCGAAGGCGTCGAGAGTGTCGTCGAGTCACTCTCGGCGGTGCTCAATTTTCCGATTTGCCCTTGCCTTTCAACGGGCAGGCCACTGTCTCATGGAGATCGCGGTTGCACCATAGGCAATAGTGAAATCTCGTGCGCGCTTTGAATGCTTGCTTGGAGAGACCGTATTGGGACCAGGGGGCTGGAGCTGCTGCACCGGGCCTAGGGGGCTGGAGCTGCTGCGCCGGGCCCAGGGCTAGATGCGGTGTTTGTCTTAGCCTTGCCACGTCCTCGGCCTTTGTCGGGGCGGCCACCTTCCCGGGCGGCTGCGAGTCTGTCCCCTTCATTGGCAGACACGACCTCGCTAGTTTGGTCGAACGGAGTTGCCGCCGCGACCACGGCCACTTTCGGTCGATGCTGATCTCTGCTCGGGCCTGCCGCAGACGAACGCAGGTTCTTAGCCTCCTTGTTCGTGACAATAATCTGCGCGGCCTTGTCAAATAGTTCCGCCATTGTTGTCAATGTGTCCTCGACGTGAGTCAAGGCATTGCTCAATGTCGGACACGACCTTGAGATAAAATAGTGTCGGATGGCTTTGAAGCCCATTTGAATGTTTGGGACGGATGTCAAGCGTTGGTACTTGGCAATCCAGTTAGTACTCGGCAGCGTGCCTTGTTCGAAGACCATGAGCTTGTTCATTGCCTTGATCTTCGACGGCTCTACTTGGAACCGCTTATGCCACGTCGCCTTTAGATCATCCCAACTGATCTTGGTGTGCAACTCTGCAGCGACCACCCCGTACTTGGACAAGAGATTGTCCATCCAGGCTTGACATGCGCCTCCCGACCGGGAGTATAAGTACGCGTGGTGCTTGTATTCGCTGACGAGATGGAGCTGCATCGTGAGTTCAAACTTGTGGAACCATGGAATCGGGTCCGTCTTCGTCGAATCGCAGAAGATCTCTTGACCATCAAACTTCGGAGTTGACTCCCACTGTCCCGAATTTGGGTTGGCGGCTGCAGCACAGATGCGCTGCTCCAACTGTTGTGTCGCGGTGTGCTGTAACTGCACGCCGTCCTTGAGGGATCCGACGTCAATCTTCAAAGCCTCGAGGCGATCAGAGGTGTTGGAGGAGCTGGCAACGGGGGCGGCGATGGTTTGTTCCAGCTGCTGGAGGCGGCTGTCTAACGCTCGTTTGTGTTGCTGAACTATGTCGTCGAGGCTGTGGATGTCCTCCTGTTGTGCAATGCACGTGGTTAGGAGGTCCGTGAGATGGAGAGGAGTAGAGCGATCTTGTTTTCACTCTCCTCCATCTTACCATTCTCGGCCTCTGTCCGCCATTCTACTACCATTGTGAGCAAGGCTCATTTCTCCTGAATATCTTCTCGCGTTGTTGAATTCGTTCTTCATCGGCAGCCCTTGCTGGTGCCTCGTCTTGTTGGCGCTGCTGTTCGATTGCCAACAGACGTGCCCTCTCGGCGTCCTCTGCCTTCTTCTTCGCTGCGGTTGCTGCGTCATCCGCCCGTTTCTTGGTTTCGGTACTCCAGGCCAGCATCCGGGCCTGATAGGCCTCGTTTGTTTCCCCGGACTTCTGGTCCATGATGGCTGTTTGCGAGCGCAAAAGCATAGACCAGGACAGGGGCCTGCTGACGTGGTACTCCCTGTCGCTGACGTTGTACTTCTGACGTGTCCTGCTGATATGTCCTGCCGACGTGGTCTGCTGACGTGGCCAGTTGACGTGGCATCTTACCAATGTCGCTGCAGGGGTATCCGAAGACAACTAGAGAAGATAAGACGAGACGGGCAACAACATAGATGGGGAGGGTGGGTGGGAAAAATCGCCCAGATAAGGAGCCACTAATCAAAAAAGAAAAGTTTGAACCTAGCAAGGATAGAATACTAGGTGGAAGGTCAGGCTTGGGGGAAGGTATGATGTGGGACGAAGCCCTGCCTGTTCATAACCAGATGGTGGCAGGGGATCTGGTAGACCCATTCAGACTTCCAACAACCTGAAGAGAAACAGTTCACGTATTATAAAAGAAATCATAGTCAGCATATTTCAGCATCAAGGATAGACATTTCCTTATATCGCAGGACACTACGGGAATACTACACTCAGTGGATATAGGGGGCTTACCATATTGTACGTGTTTAGATCATAAACCTATATTTCTGCAAGGTTAATAATTCGTTATTAAGAACCCAAGAGTTGAGGGACACTATTCTGCAAGTGTGTTTAACACATAGGCCGGACACACAATCTTTCGCAGACCTTTTGGAAGCCATGTCGGCAGTGACGGCAGCAGTAGCCAGACAAATGGTAGCAAAACGGATGGCAAGGGAAATAAGGTTGCAAACGGCATTACGCATAGCCGAAAGGAATCTAATTAATAACCCAGGTTTAGAGATGTACGAGAGAATAATAGAATCAGCAAGAAATGAATTGGGGGACTGGGAGAGATGGAGGGCTAGGGGCCTTCAGATGAGAGCGAGAGGGAAAGAATGGGAAGAGGGAGAAAGAATGACAAAGTATTTCTTTCAAAAGATTAAAGCAAGGGGAAGAAACAAGTTAATAGAACAGTTGGAAGGACCGCAAGGAATGGTTTCTGATCCAGAAGGGATGCTCTTGGTGGCGCAAGATTACTATAGCACATTGTACACTTCAAGAGAAGGGGAACATACCTTTCATCAATTGAAGGAAGTCAGAAATAAGTTCTTGACATATTTGGAATGTACAGTGAAGAGGGAGCAGGCAGGAAAATTGGATGCTCCTTTGTCACAGGAGGAATTGAGGGAAGCCCTACAGTCTATGACTCCTAACAAGACGCCAGGTAGGGATGGGTTGACTAAGGAATTCTGGATGGAGTTTTGGCCTATCCTGGGGGGAGAATATGAATCCTTTCTCAATCAGGCCTGGCAAAAGGAGGGTATGGGGTTAGAGTCTGCGACAGGTATTGTCACTCTGCAATATGAAAAGGGGACCCGAAAGTTATTAAGAACTATAGACCAATTACACTGTTGACCCTAACCCATAAGATTGTAGCTAAGGCACTCGCTAACCGCTTCAGGAAAGTTACAGAAGGTTGTTTTCACTTGGATCAAATGGGCTTTATACCGGAAGATTCATATTGGATAATGTCATGACTTTATCAGAATCAGTAAGGTATATTACGAATAAGAGGATAAATGTTGCGATCCTCTTCTTCGACTTCGAAAAAGCATATGATCAGGTAAATTGGAACTTTCTTCAGCAATGCATGGAGAAGATGGGAGTGGGTCCTAACTTTCGTAAATGGATTTGAGTTCTGTATAACGATGCACACGGACAGGTCCAGGTTAATGGACACCTGTCGGCTCGGTATAAAATGACGAGGTCGGTGAGGCAGGGGGACCCCTTAGCGGCTCCTATTGTTTTGTTTATAATGGAAGCGATTGCATCATTCCTCAGGAAAGATCCTTCCATAGATCGTTTGATAGCTGAACCGGATCATTAGGGAAGGGTTATACACCTACCGACAACGATATTATTTGCGGATTATCTGACGGTACTAATCAGAGCAACAAATTCTTCATTTCAAGCTCTAACAAGAGCAATGGAGGCATTCCAGCTGGCATCGGAGATGAGAATCAATTGGCCTAAGACGCTGGGGTGGTGGTTATCACATGATGAACATCAGACACAGTATCACCCGTAGAGCTATGGGGGAATGACTTGGTTACCGTCGGATCAGTCAATGAGATACTTAGGGATCAGAATGGCGGATACGGGTCCTCAGACTCCTCACCACTCCATGGCACCGGAACGGATGACAAAAATGTTATTAAAGTTGGCAGCGTGGTCGGAAATACATACTTCACGCTTCGGGAGATCACTGCTATTAAATGCTTCCATCTTCTCCATGTTATGGTATGTTGGAACAATATGGACACCTCCCACACATGAACTTCAAAAATTACGGAGGGTGACAGCGACGTATTTATGGACAGCAAATCCAACGAAACCGAACTTTATATCAAAAGTTGCATGGATGCAAATTATTCAACCAAAAGACAAGGGAGGTTTGGGAGTCTTGGATCCTGGACAACAGATAAGGGCTCTCCAAACTAAGTGGATTATTAAGTTGTTAACACAGCCACACTTACGATGGGTTCCACTTGTACTCGATCACATACGTCAGATGGCCAGATATAAAACCTTCTAATATGAAGGGTACATTTTGGCTATTTTGTAAGGGCTGGACTAAAAAGGATAGAATGGGAGAACAGACAGTTGGGGAGGAACACGAAACAGTTGAAGGATCTGCTAGGGGTACATATTGGGCGCAATTACTCAAAATATGGGCGGAAGTCTTCCCGGCAAGAGTAAAGGAACCAAGAACAAAGGAGGAGGTGCTTAGACAACCGTTATTCTGTAACTCGTGGTTAAAAGATGCTAAGGGACGACCCAGAACACTAACAACAAAGGATGCCAAGTGGGGTAAGTGGTTAGAGCATGGAGTTTGGCAGGTGAAACACCTCTGGTCGAGTAGCAAGAGGAGTCAGAAAACAGGTAGGGAGCTGAGGGGGGAAATGAAGGGTTGTCACAGACTAACTGAAAACCTAAATGACATTCTTGTGTCGATCCCGGATGAGTGGACAAGGTTATTGAAGGAACCAGACAAATGGGGTTCGGGGGATTGGGCAACATTAACCTCTACTAATGAACCAGACGCAGCCTTTCGCATAAGGAAGGAGGTCGGACCCTCCAGACAGTGGGTGGAAGCTGAGATGTTTTCAATCCTATATCCAAGAATCACGGTCAGTTTGCTCGATAAGGATTCGCAGGTCCTGATTGTCGTGAAGAAAAGCATACTGAGAAAGGTAAGAGTAGTGGAGAATGAGGATTTTACGATATTCGAGTAACTGGTATCTATAAGCGATTTGGAAGTCGATCCAGCAGAATGGGCATGGAACATCAAGGGAAGAATATCAAGGGTAACGAGGAGATTTAACATACTTAAGTACTCCACTAAACTGGGCTATCGGCTGAGGGGGAGATCAAGCCATTTGGACCACATATTGGCAGCAAGATGGGAGAAGAAAGGGCATGTTCCAAGGGAACAGGTGGACAAGCTACCATGGTCAACTCTACACAGTAGCAGATTGGCCAAGGTCAGGAGTATGCAGTGGCTCATCTTTCATTTAGCACTTCCAGTCAATGCCTGGTTGTATGAAAGACGAAGCAGTTCCAATAGGAATGAAGAGGATCAAAATTGTGGAATGTGTTTGGGGGGTGTTCAGGAAACACTGTTCCATTGTTTGCTGTACTGCCCGGAAGCAGGACATCTCTGGTCGCTGGCCTGTGCATTGTGGGCACGCATTAGGGAGCTCCCCTTCCCGAGAAATATGAAACTACTATTGATTGGAGTTGAGGTTCGTAGGGGATGGCGAGTGGGACATAAGTTTATTTTTCAACTACTAAGACAGTATACTTTATGGACAATTTGGAAACGANGTTCGTAGGGGATGGCGAGTGGGACATAAGTTTATTTTTCAACTACTAAGACAGTATACTTTATGGACAATTTGGAAACGAAGATGCCAGAGGGTGATAGGCAATATTCTGTTGACGAGAATGGAAGCCAGGGCGATTCTCTATAGTCTGCTGGAGACAGAGATCAGGGCGTTATGGTTAAGGACAAGGAAGCAAATGGCCTTTAACCCTGAAAGGGCGAAGGATACCTTAGCCAAATTCCAGAATAGGGTACTGGGCCAAGGCAAAGTTGCTTCTATAGAAGGACAAAGACTTATCTTCCATTGGTTTAAAGATGATCCTCATGGGGAGGCTATGGATCTTCAGGTGGTAACACAGGAACTTTGGCAGCCATAATAAGTTAAAGGACACAGGGTAAGGAAGGATAAGTCAAGGGGTTTAGGGTCAAGGGTATATAGGTATGCCAGGGTAGGATAAGTCAAGGGGTTTTTAAGGGTTTAATGAATATAGTGCACGAAGGGATCAGGTCCTCATGGACTATAGATGATAGCAGTTTAGTTGGGAGTGGAGAAAGGGCACAGCACAAGTTTACCTACAGGTTTTGGTTCCGACCGAGGGTTTAGGGTTTAGGGTTTAGGGCTTACGCAGAAATAGGTTAAATATGGTTATGAAGGTATAAGACAGTTCAAAAGACTCATAAGTGTCCCAGCAGGCTCTTGCAAAACATATCTACCCGACAGCTTTATAGCTGAGAGGAGCAGAGTGGGGATCAATTAGAATGACAAGTAGAGATTAGCTTAGGCAGGGGTGAGGGGTGGTACATCCTTCCGTAGGGAAGTAATCAATGCTACCTTCTCGGGCCTCCCAGCCATAATGGGGAGGAGCGTGTGTGAGTTCTTTATGTGTTCCATATTGACTTGCCGGGGGAATAGGAACCGGACTGTCGCTCCCTAGAATGGTAGGAGCTGGAACCGTGAGGTTCTGATTTTCAAAAAAAAAAAAAGAAAAAAAAAAAAAGAAA